GGATTTCCAAAGTATGGGGAAGAAAATGATTTACAATATTTGTGCTAAATCAGCACACTTTGAACAGTTGAAGGAAAGAATAGATACTAAATGGAGGGCTTACCTTTCTGTGCCCAGAGATGTGAATCCCTCGTGGAGGCTGTTGTACAAACCTCCAATTCCTAAAAGATGTGGAGATCTACAGTGGAGAATACTTCACAGTGTGTTGGCTACAAACACCTTTGTTTCTAAATTCAATGAAATGGTTTTACCTGAATGTTCTTTTTGTAAGGCCTCTGACACTGTGTTTCATTTATTTTGTGAGTGTTCAAGGCTGGCTCCACTTTTTGTACTTTTGGAAAAACTAATTATGAAATTGGGATTTTCTTTTACAAATACCCTTTTTATCTTTGGTTGCAAGTATAAGCAGTCGTGGCGTGAACAGTGTGTGCTTGCCAATTTTTTAATGGGACACGCCAAGTTAGCAATCCTGAAAACACATCAATGTAAAAACGCTGGTCAAGATGTTGACTTGTTGCCTCTTTTTAAATCATTGGTAGAATTTAGGATTGCTATTGAATTTGCATATTACAAACAAACTGATAATGTACCTTTTTTCAAAATGAGGTGGGGGGTGAGAGATGCTTTAGTGACGCTGAGTGAGTTTGGAAATATGGTTTTTAATTGGTAAAATTGTTCTGTTTATTTATTTATTTATTTATTATTTTGCTTTTGTGTATTAGCTCTGTAATGTTTTGAAAAAGGGTGTAAATTAAAAGGGGTTTAAAAGTCAAAAGTCTCTCTCTCTCTCTCTTTTTACACAATAAATATAAAAAATAAATATAAAAAATAACAACAAACATGTTCCTACAATTACCTGCAAAATATGTCATTCCTAAATTTCCGCATAATCTCAATAACTTGTTGCATTCTTATTTTTTATATAAATGTTAATGATCTAATATTTAACTCCTTAAAGGTATGTAATTTGTATATTATATACAGTATGCAAATTTAGCATTTGCCAAAATGTGCAGTATTCAGAGCACAATACTGTATAGTGGAATAATGTAACCCACAATGCAATGTGCTCAACTTGACCTTTCATTTCCAGTGACAAATAAACTTGAAGTAATATCAGCTGTAATTTTTTACATCTTTTACTTGGCTCCAAATTACTTTTTTTCTTGCAAAATTTAATTAAATATGCAAAAAAAAAAAAATTATAAGATGATAACTAGATGCCGTTCACTGAATTAATATGATGAGGTCACATGACAACATTTATTATGGAATAATGCCTACTGTTTTCCTGTTACTATTTTTAGTAGGCATCATATGGTTTATGATGTGTACTGTTCAGTGAGTAGCTAGTATGCCATTTTGAACATAGCCTGTCATATTCAATATGTCTCTTATATTGAAGATTACTTTAAACCAGAGCTATGTTCAGAATAGCATAATATACTTTTACTACTTTTGCAGTATATAGTATGAGTATTGTGTGCAGAATGTGAATGCATGGGAAAAAGTGTGTAGTTATCACAGCACATTGCACTGAATAGTGGGTCCCACACTGCACCAGTGTTTAACTGACTATGCTTCAACAAAAGTAGTCAATATACTGTACAGTGTTTATTGCACAGCACTCAGTAAGAAGTAAACTAGTCTTCCATTATAAACATGGCAAAGTTTCTAAACCCTCAGAAACACATAAATCTGAGCAGTTCTATTGTGTATGTGAACTATATCTACTGAGGAAATTTTGAAATGTATTCAAAATAGATCAGGTGTTTCCACATGTTAATGAGAGAAAAATGAAAAAAGGATAAATCACAGCAATATTTGAAGATATTTTACAGCTGCAGCTATAGTTTACAGTGTACAGTTACTCAAGCTTCACAACCATAGAAACACATTAACTATTATACCGGGCAGAACAGCATTCCGGCATACTCTCTCTACCTTATACATGATGTATTACTTCAAGCCTACTAGAGATCAAGATAACAGGGCTTCCTTAATTAGAGAGGCACACACGGCCTGCTTAAACATTAACTTTAACTCTGTTGCATATTCTCCCAATGTCTAACACCTACACCAACTTACTACAGGTACGATTTATTTGCTTACACTCAAATATAAGCATAGCTGCTGCTTCTGAATTAGTATGCCTCACAATAGCTACTGAACTGTGAATTGTGATCCCAGGAGTTGTAGAAGAGTTTCGTTCTATTCTGTTAGCCAAAGGGAAACTCATATTAGTTTTGACAGCTTAATTTGAAGTAGAATTATTGAGTATGTTTTGTATTATGGCTGATAAAGTGTAAATGGTGTTCTTGGTTATAATAGAAGTGGTGCAAGGAACAGCCAAGAGCCTGCAGATAATGAATAGCCATCATGTGGGTGGTTCACCGAACTATACTTTGGGGGCATTTGAATTACCCCCAGAGATTGGCGAAATCTAGTACTTGTAAAATAAATGTTTATTTTATTAACAAAAAATGCAAACGTTTTCTTTGAGGTATAGGGTTTGGCATGGTGTATTTTATTTTAACACCTGTTCTTCTGTATTTATGTGTGAATTTTATGGAGGCCTGCTGTTAATGTTACACCTCTTTGTCTAACTAGTTAACCAGAGGCTTTCTTCAGGAATTTGTTAAAAAATCACTGTAGAATTACCCATAATTATATACTTTTTATTTATATTTCCTTTTTTCTTTCTTTTTTTTGGGGGGGCAGGTTGTAATGAAATGATCCCACATAACCACATACTGTATGACAATCAAAAATTGGCCATCTTTTGGTTTCCAATCTCTGGATGCTGGAATTATTGTTTCCACTTTTGAACACACCTTTATCCACCCCATCTTGGCAAACAAAATGTGAAGGTACCACGACCCTATAGGCAATCAGTACCAGCTGGCTTGGTGTCCTTTCCATTGTATATAGAGTGATCAAGCGGCAACCTCCCGCTCTCTCTCATGAAGCCAACAAGGAAGTGACTTAAACTGTAATTCATCAACTGGCTGCTAGAGGCTGGCTGCAAAAGGGAGTCAATCCCATAGACTCCCCATGTTAAAATGCCCAACTTTACAGCAGAAAAAAACATGTTTACAGCCTGGTTCAAAAAATGATTTTGGTCTATATAGCTAATTTTGCCCTTCATGACAACTGTGAGGGGGGTGAATTTTTTTTATAACTCATCCGTTTAAATTATATTAAGCCTTAAAGTTCTGCATAATTAAGGGCGTGGCCACTTGAGTGACAGGTGGATTGCCGCTGCTGACACTGCCGTCGAGCTAGGTGGGCGTGGCTTCAGCAACCTGCTCCCGCCTCTTTGCCCATTTTCGATTATCCGGGAGTGACACGCGGTGACGCGCTGCCAAGATGGCGACGGCCGCCTCCGCCCACTTTTGAGCTTCAAAAACGCTCTTCGGAAATCTACGGGTGACGTCACGGACACTACGTCCATGTTTTTATACATTCTATGAGAGTGATGCAAATTTTTGTAGACAAACCCAAAAGTAAGCATCACCCTGGTTCCCTCAACAAAAACTCAACAGGATTTTTCCATTGGCTTTTGAATTCTCACAGAAAATAATCTCTGTAACCAATGTTTATCATTCTTACACATTTTGTTGTTTTGTCCCCAACAGCCTCTAGTCCCATATAGCCACTTGCCAGCATTACTGATTAATTTTATGTAGTCGACTAAAACATGAAAATATCTTGAGCTTTATTTCAGGCATTTAACCAAAAACCCATTCAAAAAACGCATTGACTTCAGGACGATGGAACCAGAAGTCCTAAAATGCAAACTCGTTTACGGGTTTTGGTCTACAAATATGCGTTATCTCTGCAGCACTCTATTTTTCATTGAACTGCATGTCCAAAACTTTGAGGTTGAATGGGAGCAGGTTATTATTTAATCTGAGACTAAATATATAAGCAAGTATATGTACATTTTATGTATAATATTGAATTGCAGAATGACAATTTATGAATTAGGAAGTTATGTATTTAACACATCCTGCCAAATTTCCTTTTCGTCACCCCCAACCATGTATCATCTCCTTTTCCTTGTTCTATCACCTGTACCCGTTATTTTCCAGGCTCCTCAAGGTGCTCTTTCCTGTCAACCTCTTAATCTGGAGGCCATCTGCAGGGGGCTTAACCGTGTCATTAGAGATAGACCACTCACCCTGGCTTCTCCATGGCTAACTCAAGGCCCAAACTTTCCCTGCCGTCCCCAGCTCCCTGAGGGCAGAGCAGAGAGTAAGAGGCTGGGCAGAGGGGAGGGATAGAGGGGTGTAAGTATCCCATGTTAGACCCCCATGAGGGTCTCAGACTTGCGGGGCGGATCGGGGAGGAAGTCTCCCTCGAGACCGGCCGGCCCTCTCTTTTGTCTCGCAGTGGCGGGAGAATGGAGAAGACGTACCGGAGAGTAACAGAGGGAGGGAAAGTGATAGGGGAAGGAGGGAAGGAAAGCTGGACAGCTGTGGGAATGACAGGTTAGGGCTAACAGTGTAGCACGAGAAGATTTGGGACTCACAACGTTGATACTTGTAATGCGTCAGTTCACAATTAAAGAGACATTTGTTCTGTTACGGTGAGCTATTATTTTCAATAGAAGACATATGCGAAATGTATTTGATCCAGGTGTCTTAAAGCAAGTGACATATGCTGTGTTTGTGTATTAGTTAGCGTTGTAAAATCAAGGGTGGTGACAATGTTAATTCAAGGGACGAATCTTAATGTTTTCTTTTACAATTTGAAAGTACCAAAAACTTGAAAAAAAAGAAAACTTTTACTTTAAAAAAAGGTGTGATTTTAATTAATTCCGTCATAATCCTGCATCTAATATCAGCCTTTCAATCACAATGAATAAAAAACACTATATACAAATTCATGACATAATATCACAAAGCTATCAAAATAGATAATATATAATCGGTAAAAGTGAAGAGTTGTTGTGTTTCTTGTCACTATGGGGCAAGTTGGGCTATCAATCCTCAAAAAAGGCTAAAAAAAAAAGGCAGTTTTTCAATCCTCAAAAATGTCTCTAGGAACATTGTTTAGGAACCCAGGTGAAGTTCCATCCCCCTTGTGCATCTCTGCGTGTGAAAGCTTGTCCTTGAGGGAAACTGTGCGTCTTCACACTGTTTTGTGGACTAAGTGACATGCTAAATGCCAAGTCTGTCCTGCTACGAGACATACGAGGTGTGGAGAAAAGTTGACTGTTGCCCCCTGGTGGACTGGAGGAATCACAGCCTGGTGTGTTGTAGTATGGACCAGGGCTTACGTCCTGGGGATGAAATGGAGTCGAGGCAGCTCGTGGTGGTGTGAAGTGTTGAGCGGTGGTCATCGCTGGTGGAGAGCTGACCAGTGAACCTGTAGTTGTGATGGTGTACAGAGCTGAGGGGTCAAGGGTTGAATAATCTGAACGCAAGCTCTGGGAGGTGCTGTAGCCACTGGAGGTGTCCAGACTGCAGTTGCTGGATGAGTCTACGATGCTGCTGTAATTGCAGCGTGTCTCTGCATTAGGGCTGAAGCCGACTGCATTGTCCACATTTGTCGTACTGTAAGGATCTTCTGTAGGGAGTGGACAGCTGAAAGAAGGGGTGTTGAAACTGCGTTCTGGGTCAACAGTGTTCTCGTCTTGCAGGCCTAGAGTTTCTAGTATCCATGAGTCTAGAGGTGGGGTGGCCGCCAACTCTTCAGCGGAGCAAAATTCCAAAGAGAGATTGCGGCAGGTTCGCTTTCCCTCACCGCTGTGAAGCGACTGGCTCAGGTTCCGGAAATCATCATAAGTTCTCTTTTGATGTCTTGGACCATCTGGAACCTTGCAGTTAGAAAGGAGTTTCTGTGATTTGAAGAAGGGTGAAAGTAGAAAAAAGAATGTAAGAGTTGATTAAAAATGTATTTTGAGGAAACATCTGACATCAGTGACAGTAAAGGGCCGTTTACGTCAAGAACGATAACTATGTTAGTGTCCACACGAACACACGATAATGGATTCTGAATGGCTGTCAGTGTTTTTATTGTTTATCAACTGGAAAAAAATATTGTAAAAGTGATTCCAACAATATTGGTCTTCTGTGTCATTATCATTATAGTAGTGGTGTGGACTTCCATATACTCATAGAATTAGAAGCAGATTATTAAAACTTCATAATTGTAGTTATTGTTTTAGTTATCATACTTGGTGTGAAATGGCCCTTAAAAGATGGCCATTTAAAAGTATATATCTATCCATCTATCCATCTTTGCTTGTCCTCTGTGTATATATTTATAGTTTTATAGATGATCCTTCTCTGTTTGAGTTGGAATAAAAGTATTTCATTATAGAGAAAAAATGACACACATCACCTTTTTAATAGTATAAAGATCTGTGATTAGTTGTGAGATTTCTTACCTTTGTTTTTTCCTCTAAAGACTTAACATATGATGAGTTTAAAAACTCTTTGAGCTTGTTGTTCTCTTCTTGCAGTCTGGCCAGCTCTTCTTCTCTTTGCATTAGGGTGTCTTGGAGCTTTATGAGGGCAAAAATGTTACCACAATCATTAACAATATGTTGACAACTTTGGTTAAGTATTTAGTATATTATAATTTAGTACTATTTTTCAATTTATTTAAATACCTGTTTGTTTCGTTGAATTTGAGGTGACAGTTGGTCAGGCCAGGTGGGCCGATGTCCCAATCCATGCTCAGACACAGGCAGTGAATCTAAAACAAACAGTACATTTGAAACACAGGTCATTATCCTGATTAGCAATGGTCTAGCAATGTGAAATAACGGAGGAGAAAAAACATCAATGAAATAAATAGGCTACTTAAAAACAAAAGAAAGAGCCCAAAAGAACTAACACTTTGGAGGTGGCCAGATACTCCACAGTCCATTGCTACTCTAACAAAACATGAAGAAAAAAAAATCCCAGATGGAAAAATTCCAGTTTGTCAAGGCGGGAAGCCTCTCGCGCCGCTGGTCCCGGCATATTGCAGGACTTACCCCGCCGCGGCGGCTCGTGCTGGCGGGCAGCGTTGTCCAGGGGACCGGCGTCCCATAGGGAGACGAGCGTTGCTGTGGAAACGTCAACATTACCGTCAGCAGACGTAGAGGCGGAGTAGTCGTAGCGCTGCTCTCTTGCAAAACTCAGATCTTGGCAGGACAGCATGGTGCTCTACTAAATCCATCATAACAGGGCGGAGTTATTAAACATTTTTATTATTTTGAATAAATAATGAATTGAATATTTAAGCATGTCAAGACCAGGTTTAAAATGGACACAAACACCGAAAAAGTCTATCAGACTAGGCATTACGAGACATAAATCATTTCATTACCTACGTCTTGCAAGCAACTTTTCTTCCAGGGGTTGAAAACTTAATAAAAACCATTTAAAAAATAAATTAAATTTCAATTATATTCAACTCATCGCGTTATTTGATGACTTTCATGGCTGTGTTGACATTTTAAGGGACTTTTTGTCAATTTCGCAGTCTGCTGAAGTTTGTCTTGCACAACCGATTTGTCTTTTGGCGCCCCAAGCACCTAAACGTCAGCTATCTAAACTTTTTAAACAACATTTGTGTTATTACTTGCGATGTGAAATGAATCATAAGTGATAAACAGTGACAGTATTTTTGTTTTGTCAATGCACCGAAAAATACTGAGCAACGTGCACTACTGTTGCTATGGTTACTCAGTCTAACTTGACTTCTAGTGCGCTTTGACTAACTAGTAATCTAAATTTTGTGATTACTAAACTGTTGTTTGAAAACGCTGTTGAAACACATATAGGTTAGGCTATTTGTGTTTATACTGTATAAAAGTCAATCTGCAAAATAGTGCCAAAGTTACAACCTGCAGTGAAAAGTTCTTTGCATTTTTAATATATTTTTAATTAATAGGCCTATCTGATTAATCCAGTTTAATGTATTTTTTTTAAATCATTGAACATAATAGAAATGACAAATTATTATGTCACAATAAATTAATAGGAAAAGGAAGACAAAAAATATTGACAAAAACATGTGCAACTGCAAAAAAGAATTCCAAAAACTCCTAAAACTAACAAGAGCAAGACTCTCCGCCTTCTGAGTTATTATTCAATGGTTTATTAAAATTGAAATCCATTCCATGTTTATGCCCCCTGCAATACCCACGTGTTGCACTGACTCCAGCAGCCAGCTCTCCTTGTATTGAATCATTAATAGCGTTGGAATTGCTGTTGTGCGATAATTATGCATGTCAAATAACTGTCAATGTATCAGACGCATGTAAACATCAAGATATATGCACATGGCACTCGGAGACCCAATAAAAAACCAACTCACAGGTGCGCGTAAAGCCAGCCCACCAATTATTTTACATTAACAGGTGAATAAATAATCAGAAGCACTTACCAGTTATTGGGGCAGGATGGCACGGGTAGGTGCGAGCTCTCCAAAGACCTAGAGAAGCAAGTGCGCAAAACTTCATTCAAATTGCTTTGACACTCTCTCCAGAGCGCAGCAGCAACCTGATTCGGTGTGAAGCTGTCAAACTGATGACGTGACGCGTTCAACTGTTGGATCGCAGATACGCAATGAGCGAGCGCTCGAGCAGAAGGCGATGCGTGATTGTACTAATGCACCACGCGCAAGGTTTTATTGCTTTGGGATGGAGAGGTAGATGGTTCCTTTGCGCATCTGGGTGCTGCGCGCTGTTCAATGGGTTAATGTATAATTGCTCAACTGATAGTTTAGAAGCATGATGAATCAATTTAACCAAACGAGCTAAAGGACATGTTCATGACCCCCTCTCACAGAGTTAAATGAAAGGTGCATACCACAGGGTGACACATTAACATACGTTTGAGCATTTCTGTCAGTCTTTGTTTTGTTTTGTTTTTTCCAAAGAACTGAAAGATTATAATTGTAATGCTCACGTGGGTTTTGTACTTTGCACTTGATTTGGATCACCAAATTAAGCTATGGCTAGAAAAATATATTTGCTGATTATACTGAATATATATATAGTTGAGGTGCTATATAGCACCACTGCCATACAAAGAACCCGTTCAGCCCCTGTATAGTTCTTTAAAATTTACATTAAAATACAGTGTATTTCCTGAACACAAATTGGTTCTCAACCTTTTTGCACCCAAGGGCCCCTTAAAAGGAAATATTCCAGGGCCCCCACACACAAGACCTTTTGACCTAGGAAAGCATAAAAGTGATTCAAAACAGCTTTTGTCATTGCAGCAAATTCCCATATATGTGACCCTGGACAACAAAACCAGTCTTAAAGGAACACTCCACTATTTTTGAAAATACATTTTCCAACTCCCCTAGAGTTAAACAGTTGAGTTTTACCGTTTCGAATCCATTCAGCCGATCTCCGGGTCTGGCGGTAGCACTTTTAGCTGTAGCTTACTAGAAAATCGCAACTTTTCATTTTCCGTCGGTCTTAGTACACGATGTAACTACAGAAGAGTCAAGTTTTAAATAGGAAAAATATAGAAACTCTTTGGTCATTTTTGAGTGAGATGCTAACGGTCTAATCAGATTCAATGATCTATGAATCTATATATTAATTGCTTTATGAGCAATTAATGAATTTATAGTTCCAAACAAATCAATACAAGGATGCATTCATTTAATCAAAAGTGACAGTAAAGAAATTTAGAATGTTAAGGATTTCTATTTTAAATAAATTATGTTCTTTTGAACTTTTCATTCATCAAAAAATTCTGAAAATGAAATGTATCAAGGTTTCCACAAAAATATTAAGCATCACAACTGTTTTCAACATCGATAATAATAAGAAATGTTTATTGAGCAGCAAATCAGCATATTAGAATGATTTCTGAAGGACCATGTGACACTGAAGACTGGAGTTAAGATGCTGAGAATTCAGCTTTGCATCACAGGAATAAATTACATTTCAAACTATTTTAAAACAGAAAGCAGTTATTTTTTAATTGTAATAATATTTTACAATATTACTGTATTTTTTATCAAATAAATGCAGCCTTGGTGAGCATAAGAGACTTTCAAAACCATTAAAAATCTTATGAAAAAATCAATGGTAGTGTACAGTAAGTGCAGTGAACCTGCATTTTGATCACCCTTTGAATGCTGCTTCAGGACGTGGACTGTTAGGTTGTCAAACATCCTATGAAGTAACATTCATGTACACACTATGACTTGGAAAGAGCACTCGTCAATGCATATATAAAATTATAATACAAACCACAGAATATATTATTTAAAGTGTGTGGTAGAATATGCGGGAGATGGGAGTCTATTGAAGAAAGTCCACTCTTGAAGAGTGTGAAATGAGTGTGTGTGTTGGTGCACCCCTCTATGTGCTAACTAAACTCAGAGGTGGCAGCTTGGGTAATTAAGAGCGGAGCTGTTGTCAGGTGCCTCATTATGACATGAATGGCAGTTTGTCACTCTCCTCCTACCTCTATTAAACAGCCTCTGTCCTTTGCTGTCAGCTGCTCTGACTGTTTATCAATTTTTTAAAAATTAAAAAAAAAAATTTTTTTGGCATGAATTATGTCTGATGAGCTTAACTATGCTGCTGAAGCATCATAATGAATAAGAAAACACATTCAGCTTTTGTTAGACTCTGAATCATGCTAATGAATCTTTGAAAAAACATAAATGCATAAAAGCATATAAAGTATTCAACTACAATAAAATGATCACTATAAACAGCATTTTGTTCTTATAAGAATAATCTAGTCATTTTTTTCTCAGACACTCAGAAAAGCATATGTGCGTGTGTGTGTGTGTGTGTGTGTGTGTGTGTGTGCCTGTTTTTCTATTCTGGTGGGGACTTAAACCTGAAGACACAGACTCGTCGGGACTCGTGTCACGGTGGGGACCTAAATTGAGGTCCCCACGGGTAAACAAGCTAATAAATCACACAGAATTAAGTTTTGTGAAAATCTAAAAATGCAGAAAGTTTCCTGTGAGGGGTAGGTTGAGGGTTAGGGTTGGTGAAGGGCAATAGAAAATACGGTCTGTACAGTATAAAAACCATTACGCCTATGGAGAGTCCCCACAAGGATAGCTGACCAGACATATGTGTGTGTGTGTGTGTGTGTGTGTGTGTGTGTTATTTTACTGTTATGTACTTAGTTACTGTTATGTAAATGAAAGAAGTTTTTTTTAATTAGTTACAAAAAAATAATATGCTTATGAAATCTTTGAAAAACATAAATGCATATGAAGCATCCAACTATAAGAACATTATCACTATATATATATTTTTTTTTTAAACATTTTTGAGCATTTGACTCACAACTCATAAACTAGCATTTGACTTATTCTTATTCACCTTTTTCCAATTCAGAAGTAAGCTGTTTTCTGTGAATGTGCAAGACTTCTGGTTCATTAGCCGCTGTAGGGAAATAATAGAAGAATAACAAAGTGCAGTAAAACTGTTTGCACTACAAACCACGGTGTTTATAATTAAGATAATACATTAAAATAATATGGTAAGACACACCAGTTTGCAATATCAAGCAGCAAAATGAGCTGTGTTGTACACCTAAAAATAGCTGGAAGCGGATGAGACCAGAAGGCTTGTGCATTAAATTTACAAATGGCCGCCCCTGCTCTTATGGGAAAAATAAAGTGGATAGGAATTCCATTGTTTTACTTTCCCCAGATTTATGTACTAAAGAAGTGGATGCATAATGTACGGTTTTAAGTTACATTTTATATGACGAAAAGTATATATTTTAGGTACTGTAACTGGTCACCTTTCCCTCTAAATTTTAAATTTGAATCACCTTTTTGCCTTCATTTGTTTACAAATGTCCCATGTAATCTCTCAATTAATGTTTTAATAAAAACATGCATATAAAATAGTTTTTATGGGTATGACAGCTTCTAACTCGCTTGCACTTTTGAGTGCAATGATGGACGTTTGTATTGATTTTATGATGGATTGTATGAATGTTTGTTGCATTTCCCGTTTGCATGTCGCTTTGGATAAAAGTGTCTGCTAAATGAATGTTAATGTATAAGAGGAGCAAACAGTGTGTGTGGGTGTGTATGACCCCTGCTGACACACTGCAGACAGTGGGAGTGAAGAGGAGGGTCAGGCGGCTTAGGAAATCAAAAAACTTTAGCACGGTACACAAAAAAACAATTTTGGCTCAGTCAGACACAT